TAGAGGCAAAATTTACATAGCCTCGAGTGCATCCCTTTTCCAGGCCCCCCTGCTGAGAAGGATCCACCACCTCCCATAAGCATCTGCAATAAGCAAGAGTTAGTTTTTCCCCTTCTTGTCAAAGGATCGCTGAGAAAAGAAATTATGCAAATCTATATAAAAGAAAAAACCAACTACCTGTAAAACAGTCAAAACAATAGCGTCTTTCTCTTTTTGCCAACCACCAGGCACTTCAAAAGCAATAGCTACATGTGCACCCTGCTCTTGCAACAGTTCTTAGTAGATAAGTAATAATTTGAAAGGAGAGAAATGAATAATAAGGATGTGATATGCATTAGTGGATACGAAATCAATACGTACCCCTGATTCACCTTGACGGCGAAAATCGCCACCAACATATACAGATTTTGGTTCTCCAGGGCGGGGAACACTTGGTAGATCAGACAGAAGTGGCTCAGCAACAGATACTAGCTCTTCATGGTCAACCCCAGATGCTGCAAGTACCATCCTGGATGCAGTGTAGTTCTCCTGAATTTCCAAATACAACAACATTCAAATTAAATTACCAAATATTTTGCAAGAAATTTTAGTTTTGGACAACAAATAAATCACACTGTATAAAAAAGGATAATAGATCTTACAGCAACAAATTCCTCCAAAATGGATCCATCTAATCTGTTCAGTGCTGATTCAGGAGCCAAAAGTGGATTAGCCAGTGCACCAGAATAACCAGCAGAGTGAATTGCCTCCAAAAGTAAGCCCTGGGGATTGTTTGAAAGTTCTCCAAGCTCTGCTTTCACCTTTCGAAGCTGCATTAATGGATGTGAACAATTAATCAGCTGCTATAGAATTATGCATGAGCTATCATAAATATTAGAAGACCAGAGTTTTAGAACAGACAATCAGAAAAATACAACATACCTCTTCATTGACTTCCCAATCCAAGAAGGCCGGGTTTCTTACACAATCAACTAGCAATTCAATCATTTGTGGAACATAGGTTTTTAAAGCATCGAATGTGTAGCCCATTTGCTCTCGAGAGGCCGAGGCTCCTACATTACCGCCAATTGCTTCTACTTCCCTCACGATACGGAAGTGACTCCGGTTTGTCGTGCTCTTGAAAGCCATTCGCTCCAGCAGATGTGACGCCCCCCTTGACATTGGAGTCTCATAGAGGGAACCACAGTCGAGATACAATCCTATCGAGGCCGCAGGGTTCTAATTGACAACCAAAATGCAAAAACAATGTAATAACCAGACAAAACACACATACTCAAATGTTCTACTATGACATTAAGATAAATTGCCATTAACCATAAGGATTCACATACTGATGATGTCTCTGATGCTATCTTGAGACCATTGGGGAGAGTAGTGATCTTTGTCTTGTTTTGTTCAACGCGATCAGGCAGTGGATCAGGGAGGGAAACATCACCAAGTGGTGTGTCCAGAGGTGGAAGATAACTAGAACTCCCACCACCACCAAGCCAGCTAAAGAAACCTCCTGAGGCAGGTTTTGTAGCTGCTGCGCTTGATGCTGCAAGCCTAGTGGCTCCCATGGTTCTGCCATGCCCCTATTCATAAGTTTCAATCACACATCATCATCAACACATGCACATAACATCAAATTTCCACAATCAAAGAAAAAAAAAAACTAATGGATCGATTCAAAACAATAGAGGTGTTATCATGTAGCTAGAATCTCAATTTAACTCTTAAAATCTTTCGATTTTACTATTTAAAATGAGCTAATCGATTTTACAAAATTTAAACTAAATCTGGTAATATTACTATTTAAATCTTATTACGATTTCACATTTTACATATTTAATTTACTTTCCGATTCCACCTAAAATCTCGATTTTCTCTACCTTGGGTGTTATCATAACAATGTTGTTTGTGATATTCGTGTAATGATATAAACACAACAAAAATGGGAACTTTTTCATGTGGGTGAGTTGCAAAAATCGAAAAGGAGAGTTATTTATCGTAATTACGAATCTGGGATCTGAAGAGTAAAGAGAAAGGGAAGATTATGAGTGACCTTGAGAAGGGCGAGACGTGAAGCTGCAAGTCTATACATGATGGTGAGATGAGAGTAAGAATGAATGAAAATTGAAATCCCTAATCAGATAGCGGAGGCAGAAAGAGTCGAAGAGAAGGAAAAATGGAAGCTTTTGATTCTCCCAGGTTTGTGGGCAGTTGGGTCAGTCCCCACTTTGCTTATTGCTTGAACACCAATTCTCTTCAAATTACTTTAGTGTTTCTAATTTCATCTATTAATAATTAATTTTAACATGTTATAAATTTTTGTTCTTTTAATATTTTAACAAGTCGAGTACTAATTCGCTGCGAATTTGAGCTCCATTCTAAAGTTTGTCGATATTCCCTAGCCAATGACTTCCTACATATGTATAAGGTGAGCTAAACATTAGACTAATTCAAATTAATTGTTTTTTGTTAAGTTAATTGTCTGATCATAAAAAGGTTTATTTTTAATGTGGTTACAAATGGTTAATTAGAAATTAATTTAACATTATAAACCCTAATTGTCTAATTTATTATAATAAATACTTATTATTATATGGATGATGGTAGAGACATCTACATAATAGAATTAGATTCTGTTATATTATATTAGAAGGTTAGCATGAGAAAAGAAATGTTAGCCACTGAAATTTAACAAAAAAATCTTGTTTCTTTTTCTCCTTTAGGCCTTTTTAATTATTATTCTAAATACTGATTCTGACAATACAAATGTTAATATTTATGCCTTGTTTTTCTATTGCATGAATAAATGTTAATAAATGAAGCAAGCATGAGTCATGAGTCACAAGGCACGAGCAATGCTAATAACGCCATACTTTGATAATTAAGTATCCATTGATGATATTAAAGTAGCCCCTTTCATCAATCATTGAAAATTTTATGTATGAAAAATCAACCTACTCCATGAACTATACATGTACATATGAGAAATAAAGATTTACTTACTCCAATTAAAGTATTTGACTTATATATATATAATGAATCTGAAAAGTCAAAAGTTAATCCTTAAATCACAGTTTTATTTTATATATATATATATATATATATATATATATATATATATATATTGAATTAGTTTTGGCTTTTCATCCAAAATAAAGATGAAAGTTTATTGGCCATTCATGTAAACTGAAGAATAACTTAAAAGATATAAATATTTTAGAGAAAATAAAATGTCCCTCTCCTTTGTTCACACACACACAAATATATATATATAGAACAATAATTATACACAACCAAGCTTTTTTAGTAACCAAGTCTAACCAAGCCTTTCTTCATACGCGCCGGGCCCACTTCCATTTTTATTAGGTT